CCTACTACTGGTAATGGAGAGTATGAAGGTCTCTGTTAATGGTGACTAGAGGGTTTTGTCATCGGTGAAGTAACCATGGAAGGAACTCTAGGAGAGGGGAGAGAGGGCGAGATCATCAATGATAAATGAAAAAAGTAAGAAAAAAATATTTTTTAATAGAATAAAATAAGAGAAAGATATGAATTAATAAAAAGATGAAAATTCCCTCGGAGTTAACAAACCTATTTAACGGAAGTTATTCTAAGGGACCAAAAGTGAAACAAAATAACAATCATAGTGACCAAAATTATAATTAGTTCAATAAAGGGACGAGAGTTGACAGTGAATGTCAACCATATGGACCAAAAATGTAATTTACCCTATATTTTATTTGAACTCCAATTTATTATTTTTCTCAAACAGGCATTAATATCAAATTTTCCTATATACATTTTAAATACTTTAATACGTTTGATTTGATGAAATGTTTTTAAAGGATTCGGATTTCGTGGATTTTTTGGAATTTGAAGTATTTGGAATTGTTGTTGTGTGATATAATCGAATTTCATTTTTTATAGATAATATATAAAAGCATATTATAAAAATGACTAAATTTTCTTTTTTTACTTAACTATTACAAAATCAACGTCTCTAACACATTTTAAAACATTATTAATAACAAATTCTTTAAAATCCTTTGAAAATACCAACTAGATTTATGAAATTTCTAAATCCACTACTTGTAGGATTTATAAAAAAACCTGTAATTTCAATCGCAACAAACAGGCCATAAATTAATCATAAAGGGAATTCAAATAGCAACACTCACATATAATAACAGGAAGAAAAAAAGAAATATCGGCACCTACAATGCATTTATAAAAATAGGGAACAATGAGATCAATTGTGTGGGATCCAATTGACAGCGTTTGATAGCTTTGATCGAAATGATAATTATTTACGTCCTGCTTCTCCAAGTAGTTAGAATAATAGATAGCCATCAGAGGTGAATATGTTATCATGTTTTTTCTTGTACCGTTTAACAACCAACTTATAATAGACTATGTTTGTCAACATAGTTGATAAGCTAACTAATGGCTGATGAACAAATCATGTTTGACAAAAACTAGGTTATAGACATGTAAAATGACCAAAAAATGCATCTTGAAATATTAATCAATTACAATATTTCATAATATAATTAAAATAAATCTCTAAAAAATATAATATGTTAAGTAATACCAAAAATATGATAAAAAAATAAATAATATAATATGTTGAATAAAAAAATTTCAAATTGATTACTA